CTTGGCGAGTTTCGCTTACCTGAATCACAAACTTACTTGCTGTCCTTGGCGGCTTGAAATTACCCTTTCCACCTCGAAAAAACGCCCGCCATCCACCGTACATCTCCTTGCCTTCAATTCTCTACAAATATCAGCTACAGTAACGCTATTTAAATCCGCCAAAAAGCCGATGGATCTCTTCCCACGCGTCCGACTTGACGGAGTTGACGCCATGCTGTTCAGAAGTCACAATTAATTGCGTGTTGCTTCCCAGCCAATGGCGTGCACGGATTTAACTTCTGTGATTGGCAGGTCAAGTCACGCTCCAATCTTCCCATGTCCGAGATTTCTAGCCATGATCGATTTTTTTAGTATGATTTTGGTATAATTATATTCTTCTTATGCTTCATTCACTCCACTAAAAAGTGTTTAGCGAAACCAGGTTAAACTGAATGAAAATCAGCAAGAAATCAAAAGCTTGTGTTTTCATTATGAAATATTTGAAGTCGACAAACAAGACTTAAAGAATCTTGCATAAGAAAATCATTTTAAACCGACTTCAAACCGTGTATTCATTTTAATTTGAATGAATGAGGAATAAGTCTCGCTGGTATCTGTATTTCACAGATTCTTCAGGCTGATAAGTGAGGTGCATTAGATTATATTTTTATGTACATGCATTCTAATCGCTCTAAGATTTTTAAGGTATTAAGGCTATCATTGTGTAGCTGTAGCGTGAGGACGTCATTTATGGGCGTTACGCCATAATATTTGCTGTTGTCTGATGCAAGGTGCAGCCGGAATTACTTTTAACGTGAAGGAAACCACAAAATATCATTCATAATAATTTACGATATAAAAGACGAAAAACAATAAAATGAAAAGAAAAACCGAAACGGAACAGTAAGCTTGGAAGACATTGCAATTAAAGATCGAAAGGTTGAAGTTTCCAACTTTCACAAACTTTGACATTAAACATTTACAGTCAAATCGGAGACAGAAATACACCAACTCAAAAAAACAAGAGGTCAGTCTTTTACCAACCTCTACACCTACAAATCAGTTTACTGCTCTTGAAATTCACCATTTCACCATTGACCAGGGTCCTTTTTCTTAAGTCCTAGAAGTTTTAATAGAGAGCTTAAGCATCAGACGTTTTTGATGTCACGGACGTCAGAATACCGGGGGAGACTGGATGGACAACGGCGTTTTAGGCGCGAAATTTTTTACTTAAGCTGGACACCTGCGTCACCACGAACGTGACAGCTGATCACAGTTGTCACGTTTTTGGTCATTGTTTACAAAGGAAATGTGGCCGTAATTTGCAACATGCCGTATTTAAAGGATGTGAGAAAATCACTTTTAATCGCTCATGACCAAGGACTGGTGTCAGATGAGGAACTGTTGCTATTACTGAAAGAGAATTCGTCAAAAAACCCTGAGTTTTCGTACGAAAAATACGCGAGGTTTAGTATCGAGAGTATCGAGGAACCTGAGTGCAAGTCCGAGTTTAGAGTTGAAAAAAAGGACCTTCCACTGCTGGCTGATGCGCTTCGACTACCGGACACCTTCCACTGTAATCAGAGAACCACTGCCGACAAGTTAGAGGGGCTATGTATTTTGCTCAGGCGAATGTCGTTTCCTTGCCGATATAGCGACATGCTCGCACGATTCGGCCGACCGGTTCCTGAACTTAGCATGATATCAAATACGGTGATGAATTATATTTACGATATACATGGTCACAAACTGTGTCAGTGGAATCATGATCTACTGAATCCACGTGACTTCAACACCTACACGGATGCTATATCGAATAAAGGGGCTGCACTACAAAACGTAACGATCTTGCACTGATCCTTTTGTCATTGAATCCTTGAATAACGGATCTTGTAATCCACTTAGCGCCTCTGCGATCGACAGCCATATTTGCGCTCGGTTGCTCGTTTTCTTCTTTGCTTTAAACGGATTCTGCACTCTGACTTCTTTCATTAGTGCTACGTCGTGCTGTTCAGACCATTCCATAGGCCCACTACATAAAAGAAAAAAGATAGAAGCGAGTGTTACTGTAGGTAGTAGCTGTATAAAATAGTCGATCACATTTCAGCACTAAAAATAAAAAGCTTAATGGCGGGGAAATTAATGCACTTTCTTGAACGTGAAATACGGCAACGACATAAACCTCTCGACAAAAAGAAAACAACTAATAACAAAAACAAACACATGGCAAGATAACTTGCTATTATATAAGTATTTTTCCTGTTCTGGAAAAAACCTCTGCTCGTAGGATAACTAAAAGAATGGCGACAAACAAAAAAGAATTCACGATCAAACAAAACCAAGTAACAGAACCTGCGGAAACTTGTGCCAAACACGAAGTTAGGCACATTTTGTCCCATTTTTAAAAGTTATTGTTTAAGTGCAGATAAAAAACTACTTTCTTATGAAACCTACAATGTACTTACGGGTTTGATTTGACGATTGAAAATGAAGACATGGTGTCAGTCTTGTACTGAGACAGTCCTGAAACAGAGCAAAACAACACGCACGGCAAACATCCCACTTTCACGTCTGCGACCTCACGTCAAAAACGTCTGCACATGCGTACTGATTGCGAAGCTCATATTTAAACTTCCGGTTGACGTCCGTGAATCAGAAACGTCCGATGCTTAAGCTTTCTATTGTGTATATTTACAACGTAAAAGTAAAAGGATAGCAGTGTTAACAAGGTACCAAAACCATTCCATTTTGTGCCTTCTCATGATATTTCATTGTTTTTACATCAAAACTATTAATGTCTTGATCTAGAACGTAAACAGGATAAGCAATATAAAGCTTTTCGAATCCCGAACTATAGGCAACTGACCTTTCGAAATGCTGGCCGTTCCTCACGCCTTTTCATTTCTTTTGAAATTTTTACAGAATGCCAGTTACTCTTTACAGACGAAAAAGCTGACCAACGCTTGAAGTTCTTCCCATATAATAAAACATCTCTTGAAAAAGACGTAGCAGTACCTACCAACCAGAGTTGTACCTTTTACTACGGAGATAAGTTTTTTGTCCAGTACCTCGATTGTGGAGGTTCATGGAAACCGATCACATCATCAAATGCCCTCAGTACAATAGAGTTGACTCCTGGTTGGTCAACCACCGTTCTTAAAATGAGGGTGAGTACAAGAATTTGAAATGACACCGACTTTGAACTAAGGGACCAACGATTATTCAGTCGCCGGGAGAGAGAGAGAGAGGGAGGGGAGGGGTGAAAATATTTGGGGGTAATAGATGGTTTTCGGGGAACGGAAGGGGAATCAGTCGTCGCCGACAGAGTATAAAGGTGGTACTATAGAATATTGACTGCCAATGAGAGATCATACGAATATTACAAAGCCTTATGGGAGGATGAAGTAAATTTTATCATGACACGACCAAGATCCTCCAATCTCCGGGGCGATATATGAAGACTGGTACCTGATGCAACTCTAAAAAACCGGAACTTTCGTAGTAATCAATAAAATCTAAGGCCGCCAGGTTAGCTCAGACTGCCTTGTGGGAAGTCGAGGGTTCAATCCACAGACCAACCTTACACTCAGGGTCTTAAAACAACTGAGGACAATGCGCTTCCTTTGCTATGATATCTACGAACGGTTAGACATTCTAATTTTCTCGGATTAGGACGAAAAATCGTAGGCCCCGTCTCCTAAACCTTCTCTATACATGATGGTTACCAGGGGACGTTAAAGAACCCACACTTAGACTGAAGTACCCACGCACTTATCAATTAATTGGCTAGGCTGAAGAGGTCTCCCTGCCTCCGATAATTAGGCGAAGCTAATTGGAAAATTTAGCGATCTGTATCTCCTTTATGCAGTTTCCAATTTTGAAACGGAACTCCTTATCCTTTAGGCCCAAAGATACATCTCAATATATCTTGAGGTATCTCAGGTCCATGGGTTTGCTAATTAATGTTTATCACGCTAATATCAATGATATTGCCTCGATTAATTCTGATACTCTTAATTGAGTGACTGTATTTGCGATCACAATTTTTTTTTTCAGATCAAAGGTGGATCGACAGTTTTTGCAAAGTTAACAGCTGGTCACCTCGTAAGAGTTCCGATACAATGTCGTCGAGCAAACTCTACGGCTGATCTCTCAAGCTCTTGCATCGTGTTCATGAGCGACGGACAAGTTGAATGTAAGGCGTTATATAAAAATAACCAGCGCTTAATGTAAATAAGACAAACTGCACGTATCCTCTCTTTGTTGTAGTCTTTGGAGATAGCTGATGACTAAAACACAACGCAAATTCTTTGATACAGATTCAGGTTGTTCGTGTTGTTAAAATACTACATTTCTCTGTCTCATATAGAAAATTAACTCGAAGACGTGATTAAGGTGAAGCACGGACGTATGAGATTGCCCTTTGGCAAAATGTGATGTACAAAGACAAAATAACCTCCCTTTAGAATCTCTTCTTTCGCGATATTTTTTGTCTAAACCCTACTAAGAGGGAGGTAGGGGTTGCGTGTGACCGATATCTTTTATAATTACTGTTAATGCTAAAAAATAATGAATCCAGATGTCATGCAAAAATTCAAAACAAAAGACACAAAAAAAAAAAATCCTTCTAGAAACCCTCATACATATTATTGGTATTCACTCTTAAGATCGAAACACAAATCCTCTACACCGTCCGTCATATATGTCTAAGAGTCTGAGGTATGAGAGTTTCGCATTATCACTGTGACAAAATTTTTGACCAATTAAAAACTACTCTCCTTCTTTCACCGACAACAAATATACTCGAAACAATGTAATGTAACTACTGACGTTAGTGGAGTGGTATTGTATAGCACCTCATTGATTTTTTTCGTCTTAAGGTCCATACCCTAAGCAAACTGTTAATGCGACGCATACAATACACCCAGCGACTTTGCCAACACCAGTTACGCGATGGCTAAATTGGACAGAAGCAAACAGAGAACTCGAAACTAGCACGGTATGAGAACTGTTCTTTCCTGTTTCTTTGTTATAAAAAATAAGACGGTTGTCCACTTAATAACTGCATCACTCATAGATATTTAATTCCTGATAGCGTGTGAAAATAGGCCTACTCTGGGACCTTAAGTCGCCTAACTAAAGTCGCCTTAAGTTGCCTTAACTCGCTATTGGTTACGCAATGTTATAAGGGTTCCACCCTTCCCAATTTACCCCCTTAACCCCACTCTAATCATGACTATTGTGTTTACTGTAAGGGATTCTGTAAATATTTTCATGGTTTATGGAGAGTGTGTTCCTAACTTTGATTTTATCACTTCAGTTAAAAGGCGACTTAAGGCGACTTAAAGCGATTTTATTAAACTTAAAAGTTGCCTTAAATAACCTTAAATCGCCTAAAGTCGCAATGTTTATTCTGCTAATTCTGCGTAAGTCGCCTTAAATCGCCCAAAGTTGCCCGAAGTTACGGCGACCTAAGTCCCCAGAGTAGGCCTTGAAAATGATCGTAAATGATCATTATATATCCTGTGGGAGATAACCTTTGGTATTTTTAAAACATACGTCTAGCACAATAAGAAGAAATATAAACAATTCAGATATTCTGCTGTCGCAAAAACGCTTTGTTTTTCTTTTGTTTTCAGCAGACAGAGGCAAGGCCAATGACAACAGATGGACGACTTCTTTCACGTAATTATTTTCTTGAAGTTATGTACTCATACGAATTGAACGCATTTTTGCCGCAATCCACTCCGACATAAATGGAATCCGCTTCATTACTCGCTAAAGTGCGCATTGCTTTTTACTAACGTTCAACCTGGTAAATGGGCACTTTGAAATACGTTTACATGTATTGTGTGCACGTTAAGAATCGTCAAAGTGCACACCTCAAGAAGTAATCAACCTCTCACTTTAATAATTTGGAAGTATGCGCTTTGAAACATATCAAAGTGCATAGTGTAGGATTTGTTATAGGCTTACTCCTACAAAAAAAACTCATAAGAACGCACCTCGGGACGTTCTGAAGCACATGCCATGAGACTTTTTAAAAGCACTTTATTATCCACCAGGCCCTTTAGTAATTTCAATTTCTAAGCGTAAAATCCTTTCATTATCTCAATTGCAGTGTGGGATGCATCAAAACTTATGCCATACTGATTATGTTCTGTGCGATGAACGCGTTAGCCGTAGTCCGACCCTTAAAGCAAGGAATGGGTCTGGAAAACAGTCGTAAATGAAAGTATCACTTTACCAATCTGGTTGATTTTTTTAGGTCCCGTAGAAAACTCAACGGGGTCATCGCTGAGTCCTGCAACTTCATCCTTGGTACGTGAATCACCTTCTACGGTACGATTACGTTAGATACATTGTAGCTGGTACCATATCAAACCTTCCCTTTCATCAGATCTCAAATTTAGAGGTGAAAAGTGTCCTTTTGATCTCGATCGAAGGTGGGTAACATCGCGCTGGGCTGTTGGAGTGATTATCATGGTTTACGGTATTCAAAGTTACCAACACATTTTATGTAAATCTGAGAGCACCTGTGATTGAGTTATTAAAGAGTTATCTTCATATGAATAATGAATCGTCCTCTCGTTTCTCGATCACTGTTCAAATGCTTCCTCCTTAGTGTGAGAGCGGAAAGGAAAGCCTGATCCAATTGGTGTTCCGCAACATTTGGAAATATTGAATTACGGGGATCAATCGAGAGCTTCACTTCTTTCCCGATGATAGCTAGAAATGCAGTTATTTTGCAGATTCTTAAAACGATACTGATGCGTTTTAATCGTTTATCTCAACAGATCCCCATAACGATGGGGATCGAAACAAGGAACATACTCATACCTACTTTTTAGGTTTGTCAACCTCATAAATTTTGAATATTGTGCCGTTGAAGGGAAATCTTCATAACCGAAAGGTCTTATCATTGAATAATTTTTGCATTTAGAGTTTTAGGGGCTTTTTAAAGGAGGAGTGTGTATTTGAAATGTCGTAGTATATTGCTGGCAAGAAATTGCATTTACTAAGGTAGCCCAGTACAGTACAAATTACTGACCAACAACAATTAACCTTTGATTGTGATTATGGTTGCTAGCAGACAACTTCAGCGACAGAATCAAGCACCAGCAAAGTCAAAAGAGGCGCAGGAACAAACAATGTCGTGATTGGCATCGCAGTGGGATGTGCAGTTGTGTTTGTAATTTTTCTTTGCTTCCTGGTATTACTTTGCAAGCGAAGGAAATCGTAAGTCTTATTTTAATCTTGACTCATCTTCCTTTTGAATACGCGCGTGTAGCTATATATGGTAGCTAAGCATGTGGTTCAGATTTAATTGGTCAAATGAAAAGTGACTACCTGGCCTACAGAACATACAAGCGTAGTTTTTCGGTGTTGTTCAGTCGAACGAAGCAATTTCGTGGCGGCACGAAATGCAAGGGAGGAGCGAAAAGAAAAAAACGCCTACAACCACAATATTGTTCAAGTTATTTCGTCCCCCAGACACACCTTCCATTACCAACCAGTCACAGCGTTATAATAAATGACGTCAAGCGCTTTGTTTACAGGCGTACGCGGCATCAATGCTAATGCTACATAGACTTCTGGCAGCTATGTCTAAAATATTGATCCCATAAAACTTATCACAAATGTTTTTGATCCAATATCGAGCATGATTTATTGTGAGTTAGTTTATGAATTTATCCATAAATTTGGTTTTCACTCAAGGCTGATAGTTTCTAAAGAAACTGTTTGGGGCTACGTCGGTGGGGGTAACGAAATAATTTGGATATATCAACAAAGTTGAAATGGTAAATTGGCCACCGTAACGATTCCAAAAGCTGCCGTTTCGAGCGTTAGCCCTTCGTCGGAGCGAATAGAGGAATTGTGGGTTGAGTGTGCTTTTAAAGGCAGAAAATGGAGGTACGTTATTGGCGGGAACATGGCAACGAGAAAAACACGAATAAAGCTCATCTTTCAAACCGGTAGTCTAAATCCCACAGGGATCAACGAACGCTTTTCATTCCACTAATTTATTCGTGTTTTTCTGGGTTGAGTGTGCTTTTAAAGGCAGAAAATGGAGCTACGTTATTGGTGGGAACATGGCAACGAGAAAAACATGAATAAATTAGTGGAATGAAAGCGTTCGTTGATCCCTGTGGGATTTAGACTCCCGGTTTGAAAGATGAGCTTTATTCGTGTTTTTCTCGTTGCCATGTTCCCGCCAATAACGTACCTCCATTTTCTGCCTTTAAAAGCACACACAACCCACAATTCCTCTATTCGCTCCGACAAAGGGCTAACGCTCGAAACGTCACCTTTTGTAATCATTACGGTGGCCAATTTACCATTTTAACCTTGTTGATATATCCAAATTATTTTTATAAATTAGTTCCATGATTACAAAAACAGAAGCATGAGCTTTGGTTTTTTACTGGATGTAAGTTATGGTTTAAGTATATTGTGTATTCGAATTTCCCACACAGAAAAAAAAGTCAGCAAGAAACAAAGTCAGCAGGTAAATTTTTATTTTCATCAGCAGTTGATTACAGAAAAGTACCATAACTTGAATTACAACATACGCACATGAACGATTTATTAGGCTACACACTTAAGTATAAGATTAACTCCATTACCAAGCATTGCAACAGCGTCTATGATTAAATTCCCAATATTTCCGGCACTTAGGTTTCAAGCAGCATATCATCTTGAATGGTTAGAAGCATGGTAAATTGAAGGAGACTACAAGATTTTCTGGAATTACCTCTTAGTATAAGGGAGTCAAATACCTTGTCAATCTTTCGTAAGAATTTGATGGCCTTTCATTATAATAAATTTAGTGTGGATCTTTTCTAATTTTAAATTGCATCTTTTTTTAAATTTTATTACTTGATATCTCTAGAGATATGTATGAGGTAATGAACGATAGCTTAATTTTAAAGCAGTCTTGTACTCCGTTTTAAGCTTACCTAAGATTGAGCGATTGATTGATTTTATTGTCTTTGTGATTGTAAAAATCTGAAATTTGATTAAATAAATAAATAAATAAATAAATAAATAAAGAAAAAAGGCAAAGCTAAAACGGAAAGGTAAAATCGAATTGCCTCAGGTTCTTCAGATGGTCCTGAATTGTTTGAGAGCGTTGCATCATTATGGATCTCAAAAGCATAAGCAAGGTAGTCATTGCTCGTTTTTACACTCAGACTGGCCAAAGATTTAACAAATGGTAAACACCACAGCGTACACTATTGAGTTATGGTTGCACGGGGGAGGTTGCTAAGCACGAAAGAAGCGTAAGAAATGGTAAACACCACAGCGTACACTATTGAGTTATGGTTGCACGGGGGAGGTTGCTAAGCACGAAAGAAGCGTAAGAGTCGCTCGAGGCGATAGCCGAGAGCGACTCTAGCTTCTTGAGTGCTTAGCAAACCTCCCAAGTGCATCCATAACTCAATATTGTACGCTGTGGTGTTTACCATTTGTTTTATAACATAACATTGATACATTGTAGCTAAAGAGTTCCCTTTTATTTAACAAATCTTACGCGACCAGAAAAAACAAGCGCGCGCGGAAAAATAGTCTTTGCATTTGCTCACGTCAGCAGCGTACATCCATGGGCAAATGGGGAACGCTAAATTGACCAATCAGAGCACGCGCTTTATTTTGGTTATGTTATAATGTATTTTGGTACCATTGACTGGTATCAACTAAACAAAAGTATTAAGTTAAAGATACATGTATTTAAAACACCATGCTAACCAGTTTTTTTGGCAGTCTAATGTATGTACTCTTTATTTATTGATTACACAACAACATATACCTGTAAACAAACGTGCAAGGTTTACAAAAATTTATCACTAGAGAAAACTAGTTATAATCTAAATGAAACTAAAAAGACATCTGTTGGTAATAGTTCGCTTAAAACGTCCCGTACGAATACGAGGTAAAATGTAGTTTTGGCCGCGAGAATGGCCAGAGAGTCTAGAACCCATAATGATGTTTTATAGAATCATCTATCACTAAAATAGCATTTTATTGGCTCATAATTATGGTTTTTGATCCTAGATAGGAACCCAGTGGTTGAAATTCAAATTGGAAGACTAATGGAACACTTTTCAACCTCCGGTGAACAAGAAAGTCAATCGACATACCAAGAACTTATTAGCAATAGCGGTAAGTTAGTAAAAAACAACTGAGATCGTTTTTGGATGGTCTCTACCAAAAAACATTTGTATTCACAATGTTATTACAAAACAAGCTTGTGACTATTAAATGCCATAAATACATGTGTGACAGTGAAAAAAGAATTCAGGATGGCTCAGTATATCAGACTAGAACCAGCTGGAAAACTTTCCAAGAAAGAGTCACTGAATCGGTCTTTTATTGGTATACATGATGAGTTATGATCATTTTTGACGGAAAACGTACTAAGCAATACTCGGAATATTTTTCCATGTTCACACTAGGTCAAGGTGGAACTGGGCACAATACAGCAGATGATAACTCTGGTAACTACCATCTTTACCAAAAATTAGACAAGAACGCCCCTGTTACAGCTGCACAAGCTTACCAAAATGTTTGTACACCAATTGAAGCACCAGATTACCAAAATGTACAGACACGAGTTGCAGCAACAGATTACCAAAATATCCAGACACCAGTTACAGCACCAGATTACCAAATTGTCCAGACACCAGTTACAGCACCAGATTACCAAAATGTGCTGATCTTGCAGGGTGGTTTATCATATTTGTCTGTGGACACCCTTGGGGGTCAAACAGAGTCTCCTTATGAGCCCCTAAAGGGGTGTGTTGGGCAAAATGTGTACGAATCCCTAACCAAAGAGGCAACTGAATTGCACGGACAACATAGCTATAGGTCTTGAGATGAAGACAAAGAAGCTCTATTCGGTACAAGGTGGATTTGAATCAAGTGCTGTTTGGGACCTGTTTGAAGTTATCTATGAAAAAGGCAACTCTGACTTTCAATTGATTTTAGAATTTTGATTGAAAAAAAAAACAATCTTGTGTCGAATAGGATTGCAGAAATGGTTAAAATGTTTAACATTTTGAAATATATATATATATATATATATTTTTTTTTTTATGTGGATATTACGAGTTCGATGGTTGAATGGCAGGTGATTTGTAGTCTAAACAGAACGCAGGGTTGTCGGAAGAGCAACAAGAGGATTTATTCCAAAATGAACGTAGTTTTCACTTGATAAACTTTACACTAGCACGTAACTCAGCAAACTTACACGGGCTCCGCCAACTTTAAACAACTTGTAAAATACACACGGCCTCCGCCTACTTCAATATATAGACTTGAAAAGTACTCACGGCCTCCGCCAACTTCAATAAATCTGTAAATACTCACGGCCTTCGCCAAATTCAACGAACCCTGCCTCGTCACACTTGACTGATCACGACTGATCACGACCAACTCTCTTCGCTTGTGAAAACTTAGTTAAAATTTCTCTTGACCCATTTTACTAATACACTTACGCGATAAAATTCTAGAACTTTCTAAGAAAGGTCTAGTTATAGCAACATTACAAAATATACCAATTTTAGAATCGATTACATCATGTACTAAAATAAACAAACCATGACATGGCCTTTCGCGAAGCTTCCAGAAGGTCATGTATGTCACGCAACACTATTTTTCGTAACAGTGGAGATAGTTAGAAATAGTTTATACACCGACGGGTTTATATCCTGTCAAAATATTCTTTATTATACTTGTTTTTATTACGATTATTATCATTATTAACATATTCTGCAGTGCAGAATCGAAAAAAAATTATCTTGAATTTTGTACTCACAACAGTACAAACGAGAGATGGCGATTAATACCAAAAACTAATTTATATTTTACAGTAGTGCTATTTACTGATTAGTCCACGTTATTACAAGCTGGTGCAACGTTTTTTCAGTATGCCTCATACTTATCGTAATGTCTATCATACAGAAAATTAAAGGGCTAAAACTCTAAATATCAGCAATAAATCAACTATTTACTGTTGCCAATTTGCACTATTAACTTAGTTGATAGAAACAAATCATCTTGATAAACACCCCCGCCAACGCAACATCACACTTTTTCTACAAAACTTCTTTTATTTTATCAGATACTAAGTTTAAGATTTTTCGAATATTGTTATCGTTGTCTTGAGAAAGCTTTAGTTTTCCTATTCTTTAGACCTTTCTCAATGTTTATAGTTTCACCCAAAAAGTTAGAGTATCAATATCAGTTCTGTCCAATCCAGAGTACCGTCGAGTCCGATCCATATTTTTTTCTTTTCCAGAAAACCGGATATTATCTTCCTCATCCGATGACAGAGATGGTAACACGACTACTTATATAGATAAATCCCGCTTTACTATTATTTACATTATAAATATTTGTATTCTTTGCAACATTCTTTTTATGTATAGAGTTTTATCTTCAGAAATCCAGTCTGGGTGTAAAATGTCTAGACCAGCCCAGTTCAAATTTAAGTTCACATATCCACATGGAATGGCATATCCTGTAACGCGAGACTCAATAAATAAATTACTCGTTGACGTGATTGTTAAACCGCAAACTAAAATCGAAAGCGAGGTGGATGTTCTTTAAGAACAGGAAGTCCGAAGATTAGGTACACGTACATTCGCTTCATCCTGTTCAGATCACGTGTGAGCCCTTAATTGGAGTCATACGGCGTGCTCGAGTGGTTAAGGAAAATGAAGGTTTCACGATTGAAGCTCTTTATGGTGTTTTTTTTTATCTTCATCGATGTCGCCTTCCCAGAATCTATCCAGATCGACAGGTTTATCGTACAACCTAAAGACCCACAAACTTGGAAACGGGTGAAAGACTCGTTTGTTGTTCCGTCGTCGGCATGTTACCAAGGGAGAATTGGAACTGGTAGGAACTATTGCAACGAATCGTGTACAAAAGATGACTCGAAAGAACAGTATTCGTGTGAATGTCCCCCAAAATCTGCCACTGTAACGTTTGTGAATAACTCATGGATATGTCTAGATAATATGATGGTGCGAAAGAAACTCGGTGAGTATGATAAATATAGAAGGATGGGAATCGATCTTTCTGACAGCGGAAATACATGTAGCAGACACACGACACCTTTAAGTCATTGATTAACTCTTCGTCTTCAAACACTATACGCCTCGCTCATTTTGGTGACACTCTAAACGTGGGTTTCTAGTGTGCGAAGTTTTTGATTGTACAGCGTTTCATTTCAGTTCCAAAAAAATTACGATTGCAAAATGTTTTTACGATAATAATACTTTATCCTATGCAACAAAGGTTGCGGAATCGTTTGTTATGTTTGTTATGCTTTTTTTCGCATTTTACAACATTCAGTAGGTGTCGTATATCAAAACAAGGTTCGACTACTATTATTTTTAACCCAACTGTCCTAAAAGGGATAAAAACTGTGAAAACACCGTTTCGGAAAAAAAGACATCGGATTTTGAGTCTGTAATTGAGGACTCCTTGTATTCACCTTCTCATCGAGTTGCATGAGCGTGGAGTTAACGTCACTTTCTTCTGATTTGCCATTACGAACAGGATGTGCGGACAACACCCTATTTCATTATGAAAGAGAGTGGCATCAATTATACACACTGAGCAATCAGCCGAGGTGGGGAAGAAAAACAGCATTGTACAACGAGGAGGCCCCCTGTGTTTTAAACACTAGTTCTTCGTGGGTTATTGGATGTCATGGGGAAAAAACTCCTGTTGACAATCTTACTGATAGAACAAAGGAAATATTCGTCCTCGGATGGAGTAACAAGAGCAAGGCATACTATATAAAGGTGATTAAAGTTTTAAGTCAACCTCTGAAAGCCCACTTGAGTTAAAAGGCTCTCCCTTTTCTTTTCTTCTTCTTTAAGATTGACACTTCTGATCCCGTCGAAGTTTGCCGTTTGAGAAACAGCTCATTGTTGTTTTCTTTTTTCTTAAATCATTTGAGTCAAAGGTGTTCCCAAGGTCTCTTAACGTGCACGTGTTCCCTCCCCTACCTTTTGCAGAAAGGTAATCGCTGATAACACAACCATAAAAATACATGCTTCCAGATCGCAGTTGCAATGTAGTCTCAGTTCAACACCCTCTGACTGAGCTGTTTTATTTAGATAAAACATACCACTGTATTAGTTTATTGAGTCTCTATACAAGTATCCAAATCGTGCGCGACTCTGTGTACTTGATTCATTGCATACCATGAAATGGGCAATGTAACTTACATTTGTAATAATAACGAACTCTGAATAGCCGAGAATTTACCGATTTTTTTCTTAGATTTTCATGGGAACCCGATTAGATTTGTCGATATGAATCACTGAAAGACAAAAGTAGCCAATACCAAATGGGTTCTCGTCTTCATAAGCAGAAGCAACATTCTCTGTTACATGTAAAATAGATTTTGCTTCGTTTTCTGACCAACAGGTAGTTGATCCAATCGCCATTTTTCAGGGAAGAATAATAAATTTGGGAGTAAGCTGCTCGCAACCTTCTTCTGACTTCAAAGAAGGCTGTCTACTCTTCAAACTGGAAGGAAACATAACATGTAAGCTCACGTTTGGTAGACCTTTATCGACATCGGAGATTTGCAAATTTGCCCACGTTGTTTGGGTCAATTTGCTTAGAAAGTCTGCTTTTCTCCAGGTAAAACACTTTCAGACGGATTGCTTAGAGTAATTTTAGGCTTTTCTCAAGGCCTTTTCGCTGGCTGGCAACTTACCAGATGGATAGCAGTATTGAGCTTCCGCCAAGCAGTCCCTTTGTATCAACCTTTTACAAGTTAAAACTCTTGATTTTTTTTATTGGTTTGGGATGCATCAAAGCCCATAAGGCATTCTGTTATGTATGATGAACATATTAGCCGAAGTCATCCTTAACGCAAGGAGTGGTTCTTGCGAACAGACTTAATTAAACGAATCTCTTTTCAAATGTGGTTGTTTTTCAGGTCCATTAGGGTCCTCCATAAGGTCAATAACTATTCCTGCAATTTCATCTTCGGTGGATACATCACCTTCGGTACGTTACATTAGACACATTGTAAATGGGCACCATACATTAAAAGTGAAAAGTGTCCGTTTAATCTAAACTTAGTCGGGTCAGCATTGCGTTGGGCTGTTGGATCTCACCATAGTGTACAGTATTCAAAGTTACCATTTCACACATGTTAGGTTAATCTGAGAAGATAAATAAGAGCATCTATGATTGAGTTTCCTCCCTTTAAAGAGTCATCTTCACATGCATAATCGTCCTCCCGTTGCTCCATCACACTTCAAATGCTTCCTCATAAGAGCAATGCCAATGCCAAGTAGAAATCGGAGTGGAAAGCCTGATCGAAATCGTGTCCTTAAAGTCCCTATTCACCCTCAGAGGTTTATATATATTTCGATTTTTTGCGTTATCAGGATTAATCTCCAAAAAAATATTTTTGCGATTGATTAAATATTTACCGAGATATGCCGCCTCAGAGTTCTCTTTTGGCCACGCCCTTTTGACTTGGCCGGGAGAGAATTACTGGGCCGAGTGACGTCACAGCAAGAATGAATGTTAACTTCTTGTATAAGAACATGTGTCTATTGCCGTAAAATGAAGTGAAAATGCCCACTCGTTGCGTGGTCGCTGGTTGCTCAAATACACCAGATTCGTCTAAAGGCATATTCAAGTGAATGTAGGCACATCGATCGAAAGATATTCTTGCTGTGACGTTATGAGGGACTTTTAGTTACCAGTATTAACTTAGCCCGGCCAAATCAAAAGGGCGTGGCCAAAGAACGAACTTTGAGGCGGCGTATCTCGGGAAATATTTAATCAATCAAAAAAAAATTTTCGGAGATTAATCCTGATAACGCAAAGAATCGAAATATATATAAACCTCTGAGAATGAATAGGGACTTTAACACTCTGGAGGATCAAACGACGAGAGTCATTTGATAGCCTCACTTTTTTCTTCCAGCTAAAAACGCCTTTATTTCGCAGATTCCTAAAACAATATTGATGCGTTTTAATTGCTTACCTTGACAGAACCCCACGACGACGGGCACTAAGAAGACGACTTACTCAACTCAGGTATGAGTATCCCAACATAGGCACGCACATGAGAGCAGATGAGGTTGGTTTGTTAACTAAAGAAACAAGGAACATGCGAGCTAGCAGGTTTTTTTATCCTCATAAAGTTTGGATATTGTATGGTTAGAAGGCAGTTTTGAGAACCGAAGTTTATCATAATTAGATAACGTTTTGCATTTCAATTTTTAGAGGCTTTTTAATAGGGGGGGGGGGAATAAACTTGAAATGCGGTAGTATATTGCTGCAAGAAATTGCGTTTACCAGGGTAGCGCAGTACCGTAAAGATGATCTATTTAACAATTTAACCGACAAAAATTGAGATATGATTGTAATTATGATTTCAGAAATCTTCAGTGATAGAATCAAGCACCAGCAAAGCCAAAAGAGGCGCAGAAACAAATGGTGTGGTGATTGGCATCGCAGTGGGATGTGCAGTTGGGGCTATAATTTTTCTCAGCTTCCTGGTATTACTTTGCAAGCGAAGGAAATCGTAAGTCTTCCATCCCTTTTTTATAATTTTGACTCATCATCCCTTTGAATACGTGTGTGTCGATAGTTTCAGATTCGATAGCTAGGGCTATCATGCGGTGCTTAAAATAAATGTGAGATTTGAGGAAAGTAGTCGTTAAAAAGAATATGGTATGGACTGATCAAAAAGCTAGAAAAAGTTAATATTAAATTTTTCACTGTGGTTCAGACTTCTCGAGACTTTTAACAGCTTTGTTTAAATTATTGATCCCTTTCGACTCATCACAGCCGTTTTTGATCCCATGTTGAACAAGATTTATTGTGTTAGCTTAATATTTATCCATAACTTTTTCTTAAGCTGTTCTAAAAACTACTTAAACTGTAATTCCATGACTACAAAAACACGAACTTTGGTTCTACTAGTAAACTGTGTATTCTGACATTGTTGTGTATCCGAATTTCTCACACAGAAAAAACAATCAGCAAGAATCAAACCCAGCAGGTAAATTTTCCTTTCATCAGCAGTTAATTACAAATATGTACCACTACTTAAACTACAAGATATGCGCATGAACGATGTTTTGGTGTGTAAACTTATGCACAAAATTAAGACCATTAAGCGTTGCAATCAGCGGTTATGAATAAATGCCTAGCTGCCGGCATTTAAATTTACAAGCAGTACAGGGATATAGGTATTAGGAAGGAAAGTGTCATCTTGAATGGTAAGAAACATGGTAAATTGAATGAGATCACACGATTTGCTGGATAAATAAGGAAAGGCAAACACGGAAAAGGTGAAATGGAATGGAAACAATTTAGCTGTGCATTGGATAAGGGCCTCAGGTTTTTGGGATGGATCGGAGAGTTTGAGATATCTGAGAGTGCTGCATCATTATGGAGCTCAAAAGCATAATTGAGGTAGTTATTGCAGTTTTTAATTACACTCAGAATGGCCAAAGATTGCATTTTGTTACCACTATAAGTGACTGTTATTAAATAAACAAACGCTTTAAGTTAAGATAATTGCATTGTTAAGTTTTTTTGGTAGTATTATGAGAGTCTAGAGCCCATAATGAATGTTTTAATGACATTAAAATGGCTTTTGATAAAATAGTGCTTTGTCTTATTAGTTCATAAATGTGGCGTTTGCTCCTAGTTTAGGACCCCGTGGTTGAAACTCACGATCGAATTCAAATCGAAAGACTAATAGAGACCTCCAATGAACAAGACAGTCAATCTACATACCAAGAACTTGTTAACTGTGGTGATAAGTTAGTAAAGAATAACTGAGATCGTTCATGGGTGGTCTCGATTCTGTGATCACAATGTTATTACAAAACACATCTCTGACTGAGGAATGCCAAGGGTGTGGTAGAAAAAAAGGCTGGAGGGTCTTTAAACCAGATTAGTTCCAATATTTATACCAGCTTTCCAAGACAGCGTTACTGAGTCGATTTTTGATAGGTATACATGATCAGTTATAGTAATTTTTGACTGAAAACTTTTATTAGCAAGATTTAGTATCATTTTCCATATCTACACCAGGACAAGGTAATGGTGGAGCTGGGCACAATACTGCGGATGATAACTCTGGCAACTGCCATATTTACCAAAGTATGGACATGAACACACCAGCTACAGCTGCACCAGTTTACGAAAATATGCTAACACCGGCCACAGTACCAAATTACCAAAATGAGCAGACCCTGGAGGGAGGCACACTATATGAGTCAATGCACAACTTTGGGTCCCAAACTGAATCTGCCTATGAGCCCCTAAAGGGGTCTGATGGACAAAATGTGTATGAGCGCCTTGACGAAAGACGTAACTGAATTCAACTGACAACATAGACCTTGAGATGAAGACAAGAAAGCTCTCCTCGGTTAAAAGTTGATTTGAGTCAAGTGCTGTTTAGGACCAAATAGTTTTCTGTGGCAAAATTAACAATAACTTTCAGTTGTGTTACAGTTTGGTAAAAAAAACATTCTGTTGAATATTTTTCTGTCTACAATTTGTTATGATTTTGAAACATTTTAAAGTTAAATTTATTCTGAGTATGTAGAAACAGTTTAAAACATGTACTGTTTTAAGGTGGTTTTAAAATTTACCTTGAGTTTGTACCCAAAACATTTTACTGGCAAGAGCTACTGATTATCACATAAAACGTTTGAATTGTGTAAAAGTAATAGAATTTGGAACTAATTTTTAAGATAAATTAAGAATATAAAATGAAGAGAAAATCTGTAGAATACTTAGTAAATCGATAAAAAAGGCAATGAGTAATGAGGGAAACGAGAAAAAAAGTAATCAAACAACAACAAACATATGAAACATATGTGTGAACTGCGGTTATGAGACGTATATGAGAACGATCCTTCGCAGTAAAGCACTATTTGAGCAATAGTGAAAATCAGACCTGAAAAAAATTTCAGGCCTGTACGGGACTCGAACCACTGACCTCTGCGATACTAGTGCAGCGCTCTACCAATTGAGCTAACAAGCCAACTGGGAGCAGGCCATCAAATTAATTCGATATAAACCCGTAGATGATAAATCAAACAACAACAAACATATGAAACATATGTGTGAACTGCGGTTATGAGACGTATATGAGAACGATCCTTCGCAGTAAAGCACTATTTGAGCAATAGTGAAAATCAGACCTGAAAAAAATTTCAGGCCTGTACGGGACTCGAACCACTGACCTCTGCGATACTAGTGCAGCGCTCTACCAATTGAGCTAACAAGCCAACTGGGAGCAGACTATC